TTAGAGGTAATCCGTTAATTCACGGACCCTAAATCGGGGGCCTTACGCCAATAGGGGTCCGTGCGGCCAGTCCAAATGCTGACGGCGGTGGCGACTACACAATACCCGGACTGTCACAGAGCGAAAAGGCACCCTAGCGAGATATTTGGGCGTCAAATCCGTACTCAGTTCTTAGATCGGTCAGTTGCTACGCTCTAGTATGCAATCTTCGAGCGGATATTTCTATGGCCACGACGATGTTTCTGACAACAAGCGTTTATGAATGGGTCACATCTTTTCACTTGCTAATTGGTAAGCTCTTGTCGATCGCAAAAATTCTTGGGTGATGACTGCTGAGTCCCCTCTGTCTTATACGTTTGCAACTAGTTTTTTCGCACCAAATATTTATTAAAATATAACTCAGTACTCACGGCAGTGAGTGAAAGAGAGCGCATTTTCTCGTCAACGAAAACGTGAAGTCACTGACGGACAGACAGACAGACGGACGGACGGACATGGCGAGCACAATAGCGCCTTTTTTCCATAAATTATAAAATGCGCTAACAAGAAGGCGAATAACGCCTAGTATACCGATCAGTGGTCAGTGCAGAATAGATAGTACAATAAATTAACATCAATATTAATCTAGTACTGATAAGATCAGAGTGAAATCTCATTTAAGAGTGGAGTTAGACGAACCTACTTATTGAAAAAATGGCACAGAAACAAACCAAGCCTGTTTGAGAACTTGCAGTTGCGAATCGGGAGCCTTACGCATGTTTAGCGCGCCAAATGTGTCTATGTTGCTCGATGATTATAGTTCCATTAAGCCCCTTGAGTGCACACTTTGGACTGCATGAGAGTGCTGAGTGGCACCTAGCGTTGAAATGATGATACATTTTTACTGATTTGTGCGAGTGGCTTGGCTTTACCTACTACAAACCATGCAATTCGTTCGAGAATTCTGAAAAATTGAGCCCTAATACATGTCACAATAAACCTAGACCATATGTGTTGACGGACTAACTTGACGCCAGTTACATAAAATGCAATAAAAATGAATGGACGTTAATTTAAGGCTCAGAAAAAGGCCAGATGTTGTGTCTGTTACCCTCCGGCTTACCGTTTTGACGCTGCAAGAGTTGGTTTCTAAGTAAAAAAATATAACTCAGTACTCACTGCAGTGAGTGACAGAGAGCGCATTTTCTCAAAATCGACGAATACGTGAAGTCACGGACAGACGGACGGACATGACGAGCACAGTAGGGCATTTTTTCCATAAATGAGAAAATGCGCTAAAAACGCAGTGAACAATAGATCCTTCGAATTCTGGAAGAAGCGTCGCCATTCTGGAATTTGAAAGTAAATCTTATGAAGGTAACTGATAAAATCGATGCCGTTTAACTTCGTTGCGCTGCGATCTTCCAATTAAACGCGCTAAGATTACTTTTTCGCTCTCATGTCCAAAATGACATCCGAGAAATTAATTTACGCGAACTTTACCAGCAGATGAACGTGGAAAAAATAAATAACTTTACACTATTATAATATGCTGAAGCAAATAATCACATATAATCAATAATTTGAATGACTTAAGAACTGCTTGTTTGACAGAAGATTTATTATGCGTTCTTTTAATGGCAAGTGAGATAAAGTAACCCTTTCATATATTTTTGTTCTGACAACCAAATTGCTCTAGTAGAAGTCTTCGCCGTAAATATAAGAAATTTTAGAACAATAATACATTAAATAGAGCAAACCACACACACATGAACTTGATTCTGTATAATGTGCAGCCCGGCGCGACAAGTCCACTCCCCTGCAATCAAGGCCACAGGTAGCGCCTGGAGGAACGACCTTCAGCTCGCGGTTGCCCTGCTTTACGCCACTACTTCTAGCCAATTTTCTTGCTTTTAACTTATATTAAGTGTTTGAAAATGATATGACATACCAATTACGATTTACAATGGCCATTGTTAAAAGATAAGGACTTCGATGACGAAGATGACAATAGAGGATATGTTAAATAGTCCGCATCCGTTATTGGGCGCTTGCATGCAAAACAATGGAGGGGAGTACAGCTAATGGAGGGTTCTGAGTTACGAAAACTTATTCAGTGCGAGATCAAACACACATAAAACAACAATGAGGGAATAGGATGATACTAAATAGCAGCAATTGATGTAGAAATAGTAGTGACATATCACAACAATAAATCATACATTGAAAAAAATAACTATTAGGATGCAGGCTATGTACATCATGCGATGTATATTGCCATTGGATAAGGCGAATTCTACTCTATATATACACATTGGGCTGCAGTTAATCATTATTTTATCGAAAACATTTAAAGATGTTGCAGACAACATCTAAACAATTAGAATGAAACTTAGGAGAAAAGTTTTAACGTGTCTAACAATTTTTTTGATCGATTTAAGACGAGAATTGGAAGTTTAACTGAAATAATGGTTAGAATTATATATATTTATAAAAGAACAATTTAACTTGCATGAAATTTAAACAATTACAATTTATGTACGCACCACAGATAAAAAATACAAGTGAAATTAATAATGAAGCTGGGGGGTACGAGCAGGAGGCAGGAGTTGGAAGTAAGAAGCAAAGAGTACGAGCAGGAGGCAGAAAGTGGAAGTAAGAAGCACAGAGTACGAGCAGGAGGCAGGAAGTGGAAGTAAGAAGCAAAGAGTACGAGCAGAAGGCAGGAGTTGGAAGTAAGAAGTAACGAGTTCGAGCAGATGGCAGGAGGTGGTAGCAGGAAAGGAACAATTGATGTAAAGCGAAACATGGCAGGCAAGAGGCAAGCAACAATGAATGAGAGGCATGACTAAACAATTAGGAAGCAAAAGCCATAAGAGGCTTGAAAGAAAAACAGAGTCAATACATCTCTGAAAATAAATAGGATTAGAAAATGATAACTAAAATTATGCACGTAAATCAAAGTAATTAAGAAGCTCATGGTGAGAAAAAAATACAAGAGACAAGGTCATCTGCTATTATAGGCGTGGTCCGTAAGGGAGCTTCTGCCGAAGAAGGTCTCAAGTCTATTAAGGCATCTCCAAGTAACCCACGTTCAAGTTGTCTTTAATCTACCAATTTTAGAGACTCCCACTCATTTTACAGACTCATTTAGAGACTCCGTCTTCTTTCTCTGGCGCCGTCACTCTTTTTGATTTCCTTATAATAATCGAGGTGTGTTTATTCTTGAAAACGTTTCATATCTCATCCGCTGCATACCAACCACTAGCCGTCTTGCACCTCCCCACTTCATGCTCCTCAAAACCCCTCCTCCCACCCACCCTCTGAGCGCTGCTTGAGTAAACTGATACAATTTGTACCTACCCCTCCTTCCCTCCGAGGAGTGGTTGCTGGAAGGTCGTCCGGAGTGAAAAGGAAGACGAGTTTGTCAATCAGCCACACCCGGTGGATCCTACCCACCAGTTTACCTCTCGAGCGTCGGCGGTGCCTACACACGGTGACGTCAACTGAGGCGCCGATCAAGTGGGCAGAGACATTGGCTAAGTAAGTCATGAGATCGAAACATGATAGCCTCTTGCTAAGAAAGCCATGACCAAGTGACGGTAGCCTCTTGCTAAGTAAGCCATGACCAAGTGACGGTAGCCTCTTGCTAAGTAAGCCATGATCAAGTGACGGTAGCNGTTAGCCATGACCAAGTGACGGTAGCCTCTTGCTAAGTAAGCCATGACCAAGTGACGGTAGCCTCTTGCCAAGTAAGGCATGATCAAGTGACAGTAAACCTCTTGCTTAGTAAGCCATGTGATCGAAAGACGGTAGCCTCTTGCTAAGTAAGCCATGACCAAGTGACGGCAGCCTCTTGCCTAGTAAGCCATGTGATTGCAAGACGGTAGTCTCTTGCTAAGTAAGCCATGATCAAGAGACGGCAGCGTCTTGCTGAGTAATTTATGATCAAGAGACGGCATCACTTGAGGACGATAACGGCTGCCACGATAACGCGGCGTCATTCAATAGCAGGCAGACCACGATTACGTGACGTCATCTAATGGCAGGCAGGCCACGATTACGTGACGTCATCCAATGGCAGGCAGGACACGATTACGTGACGTCATCCAATGACAGGCAGGCCACGATTACGTGACGTCATCTAATGGCAGGCAGGCCACGATTACGTGGTGTCATCCAATGGCAGGCAGGCCACGATTACGTTGCGTCATCCAATGGCATTCAGGCAACGATTACGTGACGTCATCTAATGGCAGGCAGGCCACGATTACGTTGCGTCATCTAATGGCAGGCAGGCCACGATTACGTTGCGTCATCCAATGGCAGGCAGGCCACGATTACGTACGTGACGTCATCTAATGGCAGGCAGGCCACGATTACGTTGCGTCATCTAATGGCAGGCAGGCCACGATTACGTTGCGTCATCCAGGCCACGATTACGTGACGTCATCTAATGGCAGGCAGGCCACGATTACGTGGTGTCATCCAATGGCAGGCAGGCCACGATTACGTTGCGTCATCTAATGGCAGGCAGGCCACGATTACGTTGCGTCATCCAATGGCAGGCAGGCAGGCCACGATTACGTACGTGACGTCATCCAATGGCAGGCAGGCCACGATTACGTGGCGTCATCCAATGGCAGCCATGCCACAATAACGTGACATCATCCCCCGACAGGTCGGGTCGTGATCACGCACGTGGCATAATATCATGGCAGTCCCATGATCCTTTAATAAAAATTTGATCCTTTCATAGTCCTTTGATCCTTAAATATGTATTTGATTCCTCATTGTCATTATGTCTCCGAGGAAAATTTCAGTGGCTTTCAATAACTGCTAAGCTACGGCGGCGCCGCTGCCGTGAAGGACGCGGGGGAGAGGTGGCTTGGGCGCGGCCAACCGCACCCAAGCCGACCACTTGCAGGGTCGGACGCTCCTCGAGGACAGACCCCCTAATCAAAACAGGATACTCTTGTAAAAAAAAAGGAAAAAAAGCAAAAGGGGTTGCCTGTGGACACCTTATTAAGGTGATGCACGGGATGCTGGCGTCGCAGTCCCTGTGGAGCAGTCGTGCGGTTCACATCATGGTGAGAACTGCGCTGCAGTCGCGTGCCGGCCATACTGTCGGCGTACTTTAATCCTTTCAGGACTTGACCTAATGGGACATTTTTGAATATTTAGGAGCTGTGTTCTATTTAGAATGAATGTAAATTTAACAGCTGATTTCCGTAAACCCACAAATACATGAGTAAAGCCATCGGTAACCTCTCCTTCTAAATAAATGGCCAACGTATTGTTCAGATGTTTTGTCTATCTCTGCCACGCTTCATAATATTCACCTCAGATGTTTTGTCTATCTCTGCCACGCTTCATAATATTCACCAGACATTTATTTAAAATTCAGGATTGCATTTAGAGTGTCGTGCAATCATTGACCGTCCATGCATGGAAAATTACGGCATCAATACTGCCAATTATCACGTCAATATTGCCATGACCATCACCTCAATACTGCCATGATCATCACCTCAATACTGCCATGACCATCACTTCAATACTGCCATGACCATCACGGCAATATTACCATGACCATCACCTCGATACTGCCATGACCACCACCTCAATACTGCTATGACCATCACCTCAATACTGCTATGATCATCACCTTAATACTGCCATGACCATCACCTCGATACTGCCATGACCATCACCTCAATATTGCTACGTGCATTATCTCATAACTGCCTCATTATCACCGCAAATAATGCCACGCTGATCACCTGAACTACTGCTACGACCATCACCTTGAAAACTGCCACGACCATCACGTCCAACACTTCCAAGTCCTTCAACTCCATAACAGTCAGAGACATCATTTCTGTAACTGCCATCACCCTGCCACAACTGTCACGCCCAACACCCCCATGACCGCTCCAATACTCCCTCTATGTCCACAGAAGTTGCTGTTCGTATTGTCGGCTTGCGTTGTGGTGGCGTGCGTGGGAGGCGTGTACGTGCCCACTCCGGTATACTCCACCTTCAGGTCACAGGACGAGCTCGGAGGCTACCACTTCGGCTACTCCGGCGGACCAACGTCGCGTGCGGAGCACCGCGACCACAACGGCGTCGTGCGGGGCGCTTACAATTGGGTGGGCGGCGACGGTACCGTGCACAAATACGAGTACATCTCAGACGCTAACGGTTTTCGCCTGGTTTCTGGAACGGGTCTACCCGTTGCTCCTGTTCATGTTTATGAGCTGCCCGTCGCCCCCGTAGTGCCCACGGTACGTGCGGCACCCGTTTTCAACCTCGTCGCTCCTCAACCCGTTGAAGAAACAGAGGAAGTCAAGCAAGCGCGCGCAAAGTTTGAATATTTGTTCAAAAAAGCGGCGGACGCTGCGGCAGCTGCACCCGATGTCTAGTTAACCATAACCCAGATGATTTTAATACAAAAATTTCAAATACAAATTATTGCTGAGTGAATTTCTATTTTTGTAACCTTTTATTGTCCAAAGGAGAGTGCTACAAAAAAAAAAACATTCGAAGTGGACGTACCTTGCTCGAATCCTGCTCTACCATAAGAGATTGTTGACGGCATTGGCTTGTAATGCAGATTTTTCTAGGAAACAATTTTTTGGAGCCAGAATTCTTGAAAAAAATTGCAATAGGTCGGAGATTTCTCACAGCGTTCCACATCATTGATTTAGCCATAGAATTTATCATTCATAATCATTAATGAGCCAGTTAGGCTATGTTACCTATGTATTAAAACTAGGTAAAGCGATGCTTATTAAAGCCTGTCGACAGCTGACAACTTTTCTTTAAGAATTCAGGGAAATGTGAAAAATAGGTTGATTCATAAAGAATTCGGGCTTGACTCTAATAAAGGAACACGACATATTCGTGCGAGAAATTCAAATCATCCTCTCAAGAAATGGTCCAGAGAGGACCGCTCAGCCTAGGCGAGGTTAGCTGTGGTTCAAGATCGCGGGCTCCGACGCTAAGTCTACTTCTAGACACAAAATCCTAAGCAGCTGATCAACATGCGAGACGCTGAGCCTGCCTCTCGACACAAACTTCACCGTAGCAGCACAAACTCCACCATCCTAAACAGTTGATATTCATACTTGGCGGCTCTAAGTAGTAAGTTAACGAATAAGACCTTCAAAATCAGCCGTAGGAAAAGAAATTCGTTCCCGTGGTGCATGACATGAACATGTGTAGAAAGCTGGGATTAGGAAGATTTTTAGGCGCAGCCGTGAGTCACAAAATAAACTTTTAAAGAAGCCTTGGAGCCAACGCCTACCTCAACATGCAATAATTACACTCGATCTCATACATAGAAGCCGCAGACCACGCTAAAACACCGCAAGCTAGACCCCCGCATGGTTGAACTAGTATAAGGTTGACCCATCAGAAGCCCATTTTTGCGGATGAAGTTCGTTGTTCGACTGTGACGTCACTGATCTCAGTGACGTCACGGGCATTAACCAATCACCGAAATGCGATCATACCAGTTGACCAATCCGTCATGGGAATGACGGGTTTGTTTACGTTTCTCGATCTACGTGACCTAACAAGAAATCTGAACTGAAAGACGGAACTTCTCGTGGGTCAACCTTATATAGTTCAACCATGAGACCCCCGCACTGCTCAAAGTTTATGGCGCCGTAAGTTCACCACATTACAGCAGTCATTTCTGCATCCGGCCTCACCTACTCACGCTGCCAGTTTTAGCAGCCAGCGAGGTTAGGTTAGGTCCCTTCAAGTTAGTTTTTGGTGAAGAGTCTAAGCAACGATGCTGAGGCCCGATGCAGAACTGCCTGTTTATCAACGGGCATGCTTAATTAAGTTTTAATCATTAAAATAGTTCGAGACCGCAACAAACTGCGAATGTTCTTCCATGTTAAGAATCGGTGACAGGCCTACGGCCTAATAAGCGCCGGAAACCGTTATAATGATAATTAATAAATATTGCCTAATCAACTGTCGTGTTAATTCAAATTTTCAAACGAGTTAATGCAAAGGGCAGGGTGGCCCAGTGGTTACAGTTCAGAGTACCAGGATTGGAGCAGAGAGGCGCGGGTTCGATCCCAGCTCTGGGCGCCAGTTTCTGGTCAGAATCGGCAAGGAAGCCTTGGAGCCAACGCCTACCTCAACATGCAATAATTACACTCGGTCTCATACATAGAAGCCGCAGACCACAGCAAGCCAGACCCCGCACTGCTTAAAGCTTATAGCGCCGTAAGTTCACCGCATATCAGCAGTCATTTCTGCATCCGGCCTCACCCCCCCACGCTGCCAGTTATTGCAGCCAGTGAGGTTAGTTTAGGTCCCTTCAAGTTAGTTTTTGGTGAAGAGTCTGAGCAACGCAGCTGAGGCCCGATGCAGAACTGCCTGTTTATCAACGGGCATGCTTAATTAAGTTTTAATCGTTAAAATAGTTCTAGACTGCATCAAGCTGTGAATGTTCTTCCATGTTAAGAATCGGCGACAGGCCTACGGCCTAAAAAACGCCGGAAACCGTTATAAAGATAATTAATAAATATTACCTAATCAACTGTCGTGTTAATTCATTTTTTCAAACGAGTTAATGCAAAAAAACTGGAATCAAATTTCGGAGTAAGAATTTCTAAAAGAACTAGAACTAGCTGGTATCATCACCGACGTAACTTTCCTCACTATGATGATATACAGAAGAATGTTATGATGGATCAGGTCAGAGTATAAAGTAGAAATTGCAGGATTTGCCCCAACTTGGGTCGGAAACTGCATCAAATTGAGGTACCCAATTGTACATTTCCAGGTAGTAATTACTAAATCGAATAAACGAAATTAAAAATAAGAATCCTTTCTCAATAAAGAAGCACCGCAACTCGGTTGCAAGTTGTTTTCAGGGCTACAGTTTTAAGTGCAAAATTATTAAGATCAAGATTAAATGATGCAGACAATATAGAAAATACAATTGTGCAACAAAAAGGATTCATTGCGCAACTAAAGAAGACTTCATTGCGCTTAGAGATACCACTCAATTAGGGGTAATAAAAAGTATAAGAAACCAATTAACAACTGTATATTTCAGGTAGAAAATATCTAGAAATGAGAATATCGCTATTGGAACAACTACCTTCAGAAGAGCGTTTCAAGAAACGATTTTAGTGAAGATTGTCGTGGAGCAGTTGATTTCTTGAGAGCGTTTTTCAAAGCATCTGTTGTAAATTTGGAGGCTTGCTTACCATTGTTGGCTTGCACACGCAGTGAGCTTGACTGGGTACAGTTAACTGCCTGGCCATTCGCTCCACTCATTCTTTTTCCACCTAACATTTTTTTGGGAGAAACATTTGATTCAGGTGTAGCCAAGTAGTTAATTTCATGTGAAACTTTATTCTTCAAAATCGCATCAACTTGCTTCGATGACCCATCAGGGATAGTTTCGACTTTCTTCTTCTTCTTTTTCCTCTTTTTTGGATTGTCTTTATTAGAGCCTTCGACTTGTTTTTCGAGTTCTTGCAGCTGAAGTTTAAGCTCAGAAGAAATAATGAGACCACAGTCCACTTCTGGCGGTCTGTGAGGCACTCTCCTCACAGGCACGATGTCAGGCACAATAATCTTGCTGACAGCAGTGACGGTATTCCTGGCCGCTGCTGATTTCTTCTCATTAACAGCTTTTCTTATTCCCAGGAGGTGTTGACGGTGGGGCAGAGCACACAGAGTGTGCCGCTTGTGGCCACACACAACACACCTGGCGAGCATAAAATACATAACTTAGTGTCACACATCTTATATTTATTATTTAAATACTATTTTAATTTATATTAAACAGAATTTATTGTCCCACATGTTATATTTATTATTTAAATACTATTTTAATTTCAATGAAACAGAACTTAGTGTCACTCATATTATATTTATTATTTAAATACTATTTTAATTTCAATGAAAGAAATATCAATTGGTACCTATCTTAAATATTGATCTTGTGTGTATCTACATATGTATGTATAAGTCCTACTTTAAATATACATACCTATGCAAAAATCTCAATTTTTTAAATTAATGTTATTCAATACGTTACAATAATGAAGATATGCACTCATGAATTTCAGGAGTAATTCCCCTTCAAATACATCCACAATCACAAGCATAATTACTTGCCTATTAAATAGAAACCATGAACCACAATCAATCTTGAAGGCTATAACTCAAGTTTTGACAAATTAATGACTCAAAATTAATCCTATTCAGACATGAATAAATTAATAGACTGACGGAATGTTCACCATATTGACTGTAAGCATAGATTCATTTCAACACAAACTTATGAATTAATGCAATTGATAGGCAATGGACAGAAGCACCCCATAACAAAGGTTATAAAATAATAGTTTCTCCTTGACATAGGGAAGCATCATTGAAACATTGGCACCTTAATAAAGAAAAATGATTTAAATTAATCACTTTATTTAATCATTAATTAATTAAACCAACCTCATAATGCTGAGGTTGCAACAGTTCTCATAAGCCTGCAATAAGCGTTTTTCCTTGGCTGATATTTTACAAGCAACAGATTTCTGTTTGTGTTGGATGCGTCTTAAAGAGGACTGGGTACGACGTGGGCATGGATGTAAGGTATGGGGCAAGGCTGCTGGGGTAAGAGGAGATGCCGAGGATGGCATCTGACACTTTGGGCACACAGAAGCCTCTCCACCCACACCTGTGTGTTGTCTTGCATAGCTTTCCTTGTGTAATACAGCTGTAAAAATAAATACAAAATTCAAATAAATAACATTCACTTGTGTTGCTGCTGACTCTAGAGATTAATTAAAAAAATATACAAATACAAAATTTAGCAATGCTTATTTAACAGGAACTATGATTAAATGGTTTGTTATAAATTGAAGTAGTTTGGTATACAGTAATACATATCTAAGTGAAAATACAAGTATTAATAGTCATTACAAAGTGCACTAGTGTACGTATGCCAGTAGGCAGCATTTCAGAGAATTCAAGCTTGAATGAATATATAAAGGAATTAGTTTACATCTACAAAGATATCAAGGAAATTATCAATAAATTAGTTGTAGAATAGTTTGAATAAAATAAAAATTATCATTATCTTTTGAAGAAGAGAACTTATAACAACATGGGAGCATAGATGAAAATTAAACCTCAATAACAAATAATAAATACAACAGACTTGCAATTCAGAAAAATGATCAGAAAAAAATTAAATAAAGTGAGTATAAAAATTATTCAAATGGTATTATCAGTCAGAAATAAAGTTATATACTGGTATATTGGAGCACTAGAACTAATGGCCATTATCTCCTAAATATTCATAACCAGCTGCTAGTATAGAAAATTTGAATAACCACGCAGAACGCAACAAAAGAATATTATTTATTAATGCATTTCCTCTAAGGAACAAGAAACTAACCTTGTTGCTCCAGAAGAGACCTGGTTACGTCAGAGGGTAAACTGGATGCAAGCTCCAAAACTTTTGAGAGATAAGCTGCATTGTGAAGCTTTACCTCATGGTCTTCCATGTTTAAAAATCTGAAGAAGTGCAAATTTCTACAACACCCTAGTCTGTCCTGTGGCTTTCAAAATATGTCACAAATATATTTTTCTATACTGAGAGACAAGGCTCAATTTTCAGCACTAGATATTAGTATCATCTTGTTACATGGAAATTTTCAAAATTTTGTTAATAATCTGTGAAAGATTTGATACATAATTAAAAAATTTAATGTTAATTTCATTTAATCTGGCAATGAAATTGGCAGCTAGCCTGCTAATGATGAAATATTAACCAATCTATAATATAAGGGAGAATTTTCTAAAAATTGTGTAAATAAGATTGTATTGCACTCATGCAGTCAATTTGTAATATCATGCATTTGGAATATCTTTCTAAAAAAGCATGTAAAAACAATCATTTTACCATTTCACAAGCAATTTCCAGATATAGTATGTAAAAATAGGATGTTTTCATCATTTATTGCTAAATTAATTGGGAAAAGGCTGTAGGAATGGGTGAAGTTGGCAAAATTCATGGAAGAGTTTATATGCAGGGTGTATACTGGTATTTTGAAAAAAAAATTCCATGACTTTCCCCATGACTCTCCATGACATCAGTATAATTTTCCATGACTCATAAATGGGAGGTTAAGCACGACTGAAAGACTAACTGTGCATATTCTATCATCTCCTACAGTTGATAACTAGCAAATGTGTAAATGCATAGAGCAGGCAGACACAGAGTAGGTAACACAAATGACTCGTATCTGAAAATCAAGCCCACACTGGTATTATTATGATTTCAAGTGTTAAATCACAACAAACATTGAGTAATGCACACAAGATTGTACATGATAATGTCAAGACAGTTTAGAACACTCTTCAACACCACTGCCCTAACATTCAACTGGCAGCTATTTCATCAACTTTTTCTTTAATCTTTAGTTCAAGAGTGTCTAGCTTTGTTTTCAAAGATCGCCTAATGGTGTTGAACTTTGCAACAATTTTCAAATCCCCTTTCTCTCCATTGCTTCTGCATATTCATCTGCTGCTTGCTGAAGCACCTTGATGCCCTCTTCCATATGCCTTTTCTTCTTTAGTTCATCTAGCTCATCCAACAAAACATTCCTCTTCTGGGTTTTCTGGGCCTTGGCATTCTGCTCTTTCTCTCCTGCCAAATAATTATTGTAGGTCATCTTGTCCAGGCCACCAACATGTGCAACATCATCAACAGCAGCATGCAGGGCAACCACCGTTTGCTCCTTCATGTTGTGTTATGATTTCCTTGTTGAACAAAAACCCTCTTCCAGCCGTGGCTTGGCTATGAGACAAGAGCATGAGCATTTACACTACATCCAGAGCTACTTGTAGGTGCTCTTTGACAGAATGGCATGCCAAAA